TGGACCCCTACTAGCAAGTACTTGGAGCACAATTTAGGAAGTTCACGAAGGGGAGGCCCAGTTTAGGCACTCTCAGGCTTTCTGCTGTGTTCTTAGCCCCTACACCAGGTGGAAGCCAGGAGGCCAGATCAGGCCCTCTCAGGCTGTCTGCTAAGGTCTCAGCCCTACTCTGCTGTAGGGCAGAGATGTCTACCCCGGGGCCATGGGAGGTGCTTCACATAATCCCAGTTAGGGGGTTGGGTAAACGAGATTTGGGGAAGCTCACCACCAGGTAGAGGCTGGATCCAGGCACTCTCAGGCCGGTCTGCTGTGATCTCAGCCCGTACACCCAGCGGAGGCCAGATCAGGCACTCTCGGGCAGTCTGCTGCATTCTCAGGCTATACACCAGGCAGAGGCCAGATCATGCACACTCATGCCATCTGCTAAGGTCTCAGCCCTTAGAATTTATCTTAAAATAAGGAACATTATGTATTTCCCCTTGTTCTCTCTTCCCTCCCTACCAAAGTCAGTGTTAAGTAGGTATTTAGTCTGCCCTCTGGTTATAGATGGAGATGAGTTGGAACTGTGCCAAGGAAAAGTATAGGTTTGAATTTTGACAGAGCTGTGTTTGAATAACAGCTCAATTGTTTACTCTCAAACCCTGCCAGCCACCAAATGATTCATCCACTTAAAAGTAGTATGATAGTCAAATAGCGTAGCTGCTATGGACAATAGCTAGGTGGTGCCGAAATAGTTAAAAAGAACCACCTGCCATATAACCTAGCAGTTCCATCCCTAAGTGTAGACTTCAAAGGGCTGTGGAGCAGAAACAGCCACACTATGAATCATAAGCACCACAATTTGGAAACAACCCAAATGTCCATTAGTGGATAAAGGGATACATTGTGATAAATTCATGTAGTAGAATATCTATAAAAAGGAATGAAAAATTGAAATATTCTGAAATATTAATGAACTTTGAAAATGCTGTTAGATAAAAGAATCCAAGTAAAAAGACCATATAGTGTATGATTCCATTTGTGTAAAATAACCCATGTGGGCACACCCATAGCAGCACGTTAGTGGTTGCCAGGTGCCAGGAAGACAGGACCTAGGGGTGACTTGCTGATGAGCTTAGGGTTTCATTTTAGAATGTTGAAATGTAGAACTAGATAGTGATGATGGATGTATAACATGGTAAGGGTGCTAACATCACTGAGTTGTGCATTTTCAGGTATTGAAAGTGGTAAATTATGGTATGTATATTACCACAAGGAAACACAAAAAGTATGAGTTTGTAGCCAGAAAAAAAAAAACAAAACATAAAAAACAGGTAAAATCGTGATTGTCTTGCCATTTCTTTAAAGAAATACTTTTACTCATATAAGAACCAACCAAGTTCTACCAGTCATATATATATGTTTGTTTTGTTTTGGCCATGCTGGGACTCAAACGCTGAATTCTAGGCGAGCAGCTACCACTGAGCTACATCTTTAGTCCTTGGTTCTTTGAGACAGCTCATACTGACCTCAGATTTGAAATTGTGATCCTCCTGCCTCTGCCACCCCAGTGCTTAGGATACAGTTATATACTGCCATGCCTGGTACAAAAGTTATTATCACCAAGTAATGACTTTGTAGGTCTGCTTGCTTACAGAGGCACACTGAGAGTGACCTTGAGAAACTGGCTTTGCTGTAAGTTGTGTTCAGTGTCTCAGGTTGGACTTCTATCTTCACCTCTTAATATTTGTAGTCCTAAAGCTGGGAAGCCAAGATAAGAGCTTGTTACCAAATTTCATCTGTAGTAACTCTAAGAATTACTTATTTATTGAGATCTTCCAAATAGTTTAAGGTTCTTCCTAGTAAGTGACTTTCCTCACTCACCTGTTTTTCTAAAGAAGGCTTTGTAAGTTTGCTATGTAAGGACAACCTTAGTTTCTTAGTGTTTGGCCCCATCTGGCCAGTGAGCATTATTTTCAAGAATGAGCTTCACTGTACTTCCGGTCTGTCCTCCCTCCCTCCCTCCCTCCCTCCCTTCCTTCCTTCTTTTCTTTCTTTCTTTTTTTTTGTCTCAGGTAGCTCAGACTGGCTTCAAACTTGCTATGTAGCCAGGGTTGACCTTGAACTTCTGATCCTCCTGCCTCCATCTCACCAGGGCTGATATTATAGGCAAGTGCCACCTTGGTTGGTTTTATGTGGTGCTGGGGGTACCGAGCCCTGGCTTTGGGCACCCAAGGCAAGCATTCCTAATTAAGCTATAGTTTCAGCCCTAGTAGTTCTGATTTTATCTTAGTAAGGTTATATTGAACTTACACAATAACTTTACTGATATAAGACTATGCACTGTATTTCTGAATTATGGTAGGCTCAAGCAAGAAAAATAAGATTATTTACAAGTGTATTTCATTTCAGTTTACAAATGCCAAGTCACTAAATTGTGAGCTAATGTTCACTTTAAGAGGAAGAGAGAAAGGGCTTCTTTATGTCTAGAAACAGGAGATGCACACAGTATCAACAGTACTCTGCTCAAACGGTACAGTTCTCACTTGGCAGCTCATTCAAACTTAATTTTTATGCCACTGAATCTGGGGTTAGCAGTCTTAAGAATAAGAATAATCTTGTTCTTCATAAGAGTCTTTGAAACCTTCTTGTAGTTCTCTGGTCATCTCAAAGTTGGCTCAGTGATGGCATCAGAAGTTTGTACCCAGAATTACCTGGCACAGTCCTGTTTTATTGGGCTATGCATATAGCTGATTACAAGGCCTCTGAGGGGAACACCAGCTGGACACAACAAATAGTACATCCGTAGATGTCAGAAGACTCCAAAGAGCAGCAGTTAATATATCCCTGGCAGTTTTCATGAATGAGAAATTTGACAGAAAAATCTTCTTTACTTTTGGGTCTCACTTACTTACTTTTGTAGTAAGAATGTGAATTATTTAACAGGTATTTTACCTAGATTATTTTCTCCTTTTTTCAATCTGAAGGCACAGAAATATATTGTTTTAAACACATTGTAAAAGAACAATTACATTTTTGACATAATGAAATGCATTAGCATCCTTGATAACCCTTAAGACACCTTTGTATTCCTTTAGAGGTTAAGCAGTTTTGCAACTGACTTTTTTTTTAACCCCTGAGTTCTAAATTTTTAGTGTTGAATCTTACCTAGGCCTTCACTAACTAGACCTTGAAAAACTTGTTTTCCAGAAGAGGCAGTAGTGGTCAAAAATTCACACACACACACACACACACACACACACACACACACACACCCCTTAAATGACAAGAACAGTAATATTAGTATGCAGTATTTTTTAAGTATAAATGATTACTTAATCATTGGTTACAGATTTTTAAAATTTAGTTTCCTTGGGACACAAAAGGACACATAAAAACAATTACATGTAAACAATTACCAAGAACAGACATGGCACAAATTATATTAGGGTACTCCCAGTAAAAAAAATCAAAGTAGGTTTACATCTCTATCTCGTATATGTTAGATCCTGGTTATACTTTTACTGGGGTTATCAGGGTCAGACCTGTGCTCTGGCAGCCTTAACAACCCACGCTTGGCCACCCATCCTTAGTAAGCCAATTAAGAACACAATAGTGGAAAACAGAAAAGGGGTTATTCAGTGTGCCTGTGTTGGAAGAACATAGAAGTCCAGTGATCCACCTTCGAGTTCTTTGGGGTCCTAATAGGAGGTTCAGGTTTAAATAGGAGTAGGGGGTATGCATCCTTACACAGTCCTGGTCCAGATGTGGTTCTGCTTCTCAGTGTTGTCTTAGCTCCAGGCTCTCCTACAAGGTGATCTGTCATGTTCTCAGGACAGTGTAAATCTCTGTCTGGGACACAAACTTCCCCCTTTGCCAGTACCAAGGCTTCCAGTCTTTTCCTTCCATCAGCATGAGATTCCTGGGGAAATTCCTATTTCTTGAGGTCCATTGTTTCAATACTTTGGCGGCCATAGGGAGGGGCACAAGTGTTTCTGTAAAACATTCCTGCCAGGGTGGTTGCATTATTGGACTGTGGTCTTATCCCCAATGACATCATTACAGTTCAATCAGTACTTTAAAGATCCCTATCTCCAAATACAGTCATGGTCACATTCTGAGATGTTAGGGATTAGGACCTCAGTATATGAATTTGGCAAGGAAGAGCGCAGTAGGCATTGAAGAGATCAGCTTATCAGCAGAAGGACCAGGTAGAAAGTTATTCAGAAGTTCCAGGTTACAAACGAAGAGATCTTAGACTAAGGCATTGACAGTAAAAGTGGAAATGAAATTTGAACTTGAGAGTCATGAACATTGTGGGGGCGGGGTTTGATACAAGAGTTTGTGAATGACTGAGAGTTCGAGAGGGAGGAGGACAGTGTAACTCCTAGATCACTCTGCTCCAGGACAGACTTGATGGAGAGGACGGGATTTGTGTAGTGTTCTGTTGACTAACCCAGAACTTTGACAGATGACCTAGGTGGGTCAGCTGTCCCATTCTCTTCTCCATCTTTTAGTGGCTTCTCATAATGTGGACTCTACCAGGTACCCCTTCTGAGCCATTCATTTGAAAGTATCTTAAGACAGTTATCATTGTTTTACTTTTATAGTTCTAAACTCATTCTTTTCCTGATAAGTTTCTTTAAGACAGGGACTGTTGTCTTATTTATTTTTGCCCAGATTTCCAACATCTAGTATCATACAACTAATACATAGTAGTTTGTGCTTGGGTGCAGGATTAATTGGTCAGGAGTATTATAATTAATTAAT